CTTGATATGAAGTGTTTCTGATGAAATGAGGCGTTCTTTGTGATTTCTGAAGTTTTTCTGGATATTTCAATATTGTCAAAATCAATTTTGTGGCCTGATTCTATAGCGTGTTGCCGACCTACGGCTGATGACTTTTCAAGCTTTTCTAGTTCAAATGGATTTCTCGGTGGTCGAACAAATGCGGCTCTACGGTGTTCATTTCTACTGATTTTGATTTCTCTCTAGCGGTGTTTGTCCGATGTATATCGCATCACATTCCAGGCATTTTATTTTACAGACACAATTAGACGGAGAATCTTTAGGGATTTGGTCTTTTATATGGACAAGGTTGCTTTGAAGTGTCTAATGATGTGCATTCCTTTTCAATTAGTTCCTCATCATCAGCTCAAAACTAATATGCAGTTTTTTACATCAAAATATTTTACCAATCAAGTGGTTATTTTAGTTAATCAATTTCAGGTAAAGATGGGGGTGAAATCAGGAGGTTAAAGGTCACTAAAACAAATAACTAATAGATGTTAGTAACAAGATATCTAGGTTTTAAAAGAGGGGTGGAAATTAACTACGGAATTCAAGATAAGCCGATTCTTAGGCTTTAGCGATAAATTATTACATGATCAAAAAATCTGTAAAATAGCAGTGATGACTAAGAAGAATGGGATGACTCAAAAGGGTTGCGTAAAATACAAACAAGTTAGTTAGAATTGTGAAAATTAACAAAGTCAAAAGATGGTAGTTACAAGGGGAGGGGAAAAATCGTCTTTAAAAACTTAAAACATATTATGTAGTTGGCCATGGCAAAGAACACACTGATTTGGCTTGTTCAGATGAATTCCGATTGCCTGTACTGTCTGTAAAACTCGTATTCGTAGACAATGTGGGAGGTTGCGTGAGATATGTTAAATAACTTCAAAAGCTTTGTTAGAATCGATTTGATGTCCAGCCAGTATCGACGAGATGAGCTATTATTGATCTGCGTATAGCTTTATTCAGACCTTTGCTAAAACAAGAGGGGAGATGTTCAGAAATTCGACTATGAACTTGCCTGACCATACGCCCCATGTGACTAGCTCCTCATGGGCAGTTAAACTGGTAAATACACATGGAAGAGGCGAAACAGGGCAGTCTGTCTTTATTTCTTGAACTAAGTATTGGTCGGCTAGTGAATATACAGCATAGCTGCGTTGAAAGTCCTTTTGAAGGCCCTTCTCAGACGCTGTGATAAGATCTCGCTATTGACATAACGTCGGTGGTATAGCGGTTAGGACGCTCGCCGACCATGCACATGGTCCGGGGTTCGATCCCCGGCCGACGCACTCCTTTACCCCGTTGAGCCAGAAGTAATGCTGGTGAAGAGGAAAGGTTGGGCATGTGGCTAGCAACCCCATCCTGTAAAATAAACACTGCTACAAAAACTTCAAGCCATTAGCTTGAAGCCCTATGTTCCACTGGGGAACGTGAAGGAAAAAAAAAAAATTGACATAACCCATGAATTGTGGTAGTCTTAGGACGACTCACTTTTTGTGGACAGTCGGCAACTTCAGCTCTTTACTTTCTGAGTTCATGTGTGTTTGTTCACGAATTTAGTTGCATATCCGTATCTACTTAGTAGATCACGAATATTACTCGAGTTCTTCGTTCAATATATCATTTGAACAGATAACTCTAGCTAGCCAGGTGAATCAGACATCTAACAAGAAAACTTCATGCATGAATCTGAATAAAGCAAGAACAACAACAGTGGCGGTTTGTGCGGAATAATATGGTACCATCATTACTTATTTCGTTGGCTTCTCATCGGCTGCTTACGACCTAAATAAATTATGAGCTTTGCGTACAGAAAAGTTTTAACATACTTGCACAATTTTCATGGTGTCAGTTGACAGAAGGTTCCACAATCAGTGAACAGTGCTCAGAAAATTGCGCTTACATAGTTTTTACACAGACAGTTCAAGTCTAAACAAAGTAAATGTATGCATACAATGGTAAAAGAGTTACCTAATGAAGACGAAATATGCGTTAGATACAGAGTGACTAATAAATTAGGTAACAATGTACTGAGTTCAACTCAAATCATAGAAACAAGAGACAAGCAAAATTACAGATTATAAAGGGGGGTGAGGTTAAAGCCAAAGATTACGTAATCAAATGAAAGAGAGAGAGAGAATAAAGACATCCAGTAACTAGGTGGACAAGGAAAGACTAATTACTGCTGATGAGAAGCCAACGAAATAAATGATGGTACCATTTATTATTCTGTACAAACCGCTGTTGTTCTTGCTTTATTCAAAATAACCAGCATACGTTTGTATTGTAGAGGTACGAAGCTCAAGAAAAGGATTATTTTGTCCAGTAGAAGTATGTTTTCTATACAAATGGTCACCACAAAAGTCTAAAGATTGATCGTATGCTTGTTTTCCCTCCCAGATTTCACATTACTCAAATAAGGCTCTATAAAAAAAGGGTGAAATGATGAAACATAATTAAATTAGGATTAATGTCCATAGCTGTCAGCATGTGTTGACATGAGCGTATGAATATCATGTCTTTTGATGGCTTATTCAGGATCGTCGATACGGAGATGAGGAGAATGTTCACAGTTGCTGTTGGCTGGATTCAGCAGAGAATTTTGCACCAATGTGAAGCAGTTTGAGTCGCCACACTCCCTTCATGTAGCACACAAAGCAAGAGAATAAAGTAAAATAGAGACAGTAAACAGAGATATAAGGCAAAACGAACAGTAATATCGAAGGACAATATAGTTTTATTGGATATTATATGTCACAGGGAGTGGATGCATCTGAGTCAGCCATTGGGAACGAGGATTTTGAGCTATATCACCGGTTGTCTCCAGCCTTCATTGGTCTTTAACGTCCCGAGAACCCCAACCACTCAAAAAGTCTACACCTTCCTACGTGGCTTAGACTAACTGTTGTGGATTTCATTGACTGATGAAGCCATGTTTTGGTTTGACCACCACTGACTGACTGTTTTCCAACTTGATCATCCTGTGTCAGCGGCTAACACTCACCGTTGAGGAAAGCAAAGGATGGCTAGGCGTGCGTTCGGTTTGTAATAATCGGTTGAGATATAACCTATATTAGTATTATCTACTCTTGTGTGTATTTAAAATGTTTTCAAGCTTCTTATTCGCAGGTTCCTACTAGACTTGATGAAAGGCGTGATTTTGGATGGCAACGTATTCCAATATATATGATAACTGTTCTTCAGTTATGACCTTTGGTCTCAAAATATGCATGTTCTGAACATCTTACAATTGGCTTCCAACTACATATCACGGATTTCTTGAAGGAGACAAGACAGATATATCATAATGGAAATGCTTGTGATTTAGCTCAGAGATCATTGTGTCACAGTATATACTGTCTAGTAATATTTTACTTGGAGATATTGTACGAAGGGGAAATATCATGCAGTAAACTCCTCTAAAAATCCCGTACATTTTATAAATACTATTCAGAGTAAAGATGTTGCTATTATCATATCTTAACCATTTTAGTCGATGTAGCTTCACAGCCTCGTCTATTGATGTTTCCTCCCACCTACCTAGCACACGTCCAATGTTTAACCTCAATATTGCTCACCCTATTACACGTACCACTTCACACGCGAGATAGGACGCAGGCACCTATGACCAAAAACAGCTAGCTGGGCTTTTCATGTCTTCCACTTTCAATGGCCAGGTCTCACAGTCATGAAGGAGAACTGAGCAGTACACACACCCCTTAGTCAATAGCCAGTCAGATATCATGTCCATGCCAGAGATGGTGTAAACTGCCATATACGAAACGAACCTTCTATATCCGTGCTGAGATATCATCAGAGATCAACCCCCTGTCATTGGCTGGTGCAACTTCCCAAATAAGTGAAGCGGTCAACACGCTCCATCAAACACATCACTCCCTATTTCTAAGCTAAGAATGAGTCAATGTAGTCCAATGATAACAATAATAACAGATTATACCGTTACCCTGCAAGTTTACTCCCGTTTCGCTGTTGACACTGAAAAAAGAAATTACACGGATTTGAAATAAAAACAACAACATTTTCGTTTTATACTATTTAATCAAAAGAATTAAGTAATATACAGTCATCATTGTATTGAAAGCTTCAAAGTCTAGATTACAAATAGGGAGAAGAAGTGGAAGAAGAAGAAGTCCACCAATTTACACACTAAACTCACAAACAATCAAAAAGATGTAAAAATTACACAATCGAACCAAGGAAAGAATTCGAGCAGCAGGAGAGGGCGGAGAAAAGGTGAAAGCTACTACTCATAATCTAGGAAACGCCATCGTCATCATCATGATCATCATCATCGTCTATAAAGGAAGAATGAAAACGTCTACTGAAAAGAAGAAGAAGACGAGCAACGACAACAACAACAGGAATTAATACGACATGGGATGGTTAGTAGTGGTAGAAAAAGAAAGAAAGAAAGAAGGCAACAAAGCAGCTGTTAAAGTCAAAGCAAAAAGGAAAATACCACACACACACGCATCGACTGTAAGAAAAGACAAACAGAGAAGAGCTTTTACATACTACTGATTACCCGTGACAAAACACACACTGAAAGTACACACATCTAAAATGAAGGATAGATAGATAGACGCACAAAGAGAGAGAGAGAAAGAGAGATGAGTAAATTCTTCGTTTACACACCTTTCTCCCGGTATTTGTGATAGGATAGAATAGAAATTGAGTCACCATCACATTGAAAGTAGCTTACAAAATCCATCATCATCATCCTCATTACCATCGTCATGTTTACTGATACACATAATTTATATATATGACGATGCATCTTTGTAATATCAAAAAAAAAACACGGGAATAGAAAAGAAACAGAAGAGAATGAGTAGAGAAAAAAGTTTTATTTTTTTTTTAAAATTTTTTACGTTTCCTCGTTGATTTATTTTTTCTTTTCAATTTCTTATTTTGGTATCCTCTCTCTTAAAAGTGTGTACACAAATAGTGTGTTAGTCAAGCTTTGCATTCTCCGCTGATTGATTGTTTTCAGCCTACAGAAAAGTGAAATGCAGAAATGCAAAAAACAATAACAACAACAAATTAAACACTTTAAGCGCGGAAACAGCAAAATAAATAAATAAATCTGATGGCCTCCATGTGCATCTCTTGTGGAGCAAGGTGGTAAATTGGCGGTAGCCAGAGGACACCGCTTTCCACTCACAGATACGAAAACATATTCTAGCAGCATGGTTTTACAAGAGAGGAGGGAAGTGCGCGGTGAAGCTCTATTCTAGTACACACCTGATCGACTCCTGTCACTCTGCCAACGCTCACCATGATTTTAAGATCATCTACCGAATCCATGCTAACTTACCGACAGCGTTTTCTGCGTTACAGACTTCTGAAGACAGCGGAGGCCTTGGCAATTCATGAATTTGAGTCAGACCTTTGTGTAGAAAAGAAGTATGTACAATCCCGACTTCTGTCTTGGCCGTAGACAGATAGACATTTATTTATTTATTCTACGTACCTTTCCCTTATTACTATTATTAGCTGTCCAGTACTCCCAGGTTTTCCACTGGTTCTCTAACTGATGTCAGCTCATGATGAAATCCACCATGCAATCAAACAAAATCCCTACAAAACCAATACTTGGTAATTAATCTGATGCTCACTAGTGACTGGCCCTATTCAGGCAGTTAACCTGGGGTTCTAGTGGGAAGCCCGTGACCAGTAGGTTACAGCAGGTTGGAGATGACGCAGTAAGTCATCGAAGAAGACATTGCGAAATGGTCGCGCTATGTCGTGAATTGGCAGAAGTTAGAATCCAAGGACCATTGGATCGGGTCCCAGTGGCTTATTGGTCTACGAGCCCACCTTGTAACCAGAAGGTCCTGGGTTGGAACAGTGGCGGTGGGTGCGTACTGAGGAAGAGTCCCAAACTAGGAAGAAACAGCTGTCCAGTACTCCGAGGTTTTCCAGTGGTTCTCTAACTGATGTCAGCTCATGATGAAATCCTCCATGCAGTTAAACAAAATCCCTACAAAACCAACACTTGAAAATATTATTATTATTACTATTCTCACTCTAAATTGTTTCCACTTGTCCCACTTATCATTCAAAATCCAAAATTATTATACTTTTTTACAATATATTATACCATGTTATGTAACATTTTATATTCACCTACTAATCCTATAATTATGCACCCCTTTCGAACATCTATACACCTTATGCATTATTCTACATATGACATTAATTGTTTTGCTACTTGACATTTAACTATGATTATAATCAAAACATTTTAATTTTAATTGCATTTCATACTACTATTATTATTATTATTTCATGTATTCACACCTTTGATCTAATTCCCTCACCGGATATAATTTCTTGAAAACTATTCGTTGCTTAAAAGAGTCTCTTCGCTGAGTATTGTCATTTCAAGAAATGACAACAACTCTCTGAAAACGTCCATATACAAAAAGCCTACATGGACTGGACAATTCATCAACTTTCAAAGCTTCGTACCGCTAAGCAGAAAGAGGAACCTGATATACGCTCTTTCCTCGAGGATTCGGAAGATATGCAGCGAGGAAGTGATCGAAGAAGAACTGCGTAATCTCCGAAAAACCCTGATGGAAAACGGTTTCCTGCTCAGGTTCATAGAAAAGAATCTCAAACCTAAGAAGACTTCTGAACAAGTCCAATCCGTCCCAAAGAAAATACTTCTGCTTAATCTAGAATTCAAAGGTGATATTGAAGCAGAAATCCTTCGCAAACACCTCTCCAAATCGCTGAGGAAAACATACTTCGCCGCAAGCCTACGACTGACGTTTTCCTGCAAGAAACTGTTCAGCCAGAACGCGAAAGACAAGCTGTCGCATTGGGCCACCTCAACGTGCATATACCAGTTTACTTGCTCTTGTGGAGCTGAGTACATCGGCCGTACCATGCGCCAACTTGAAAAACGCGCTCGTGAACACTACCCAGCCTGGCTAGTAAAAGGAGACCAAAAACGTGTATACAGTTCAGTGACAGAACATCTGGTCAACTCAGGACATTCAGCGCATTTCGAAAAATCCTTCAAAGTAATATACAAGATTCAATCAAACCTGTCAAAGGGAGTGAAATCAAGACATTTGGGTATAGCTGAGGCGTTAGCTATCCAAAAACTCAAACCCACTCTTTGTATCCAAAAGAAATACATTCAACCCCTGTCCCTCCCATGGCCATCGTAAACAGGTAAAAAATTTTTTAATAATGACCATCCTATCGCCTTTCTTATCTAAACTTCCTGTTTATTCATGTTATTTTAAGTTTTTCTTAATCCCTATCTGCACTACCATATTTTCATATCCACATTTCCTGTTTATTTTGTCATTTTACTATTTCTACATATTTAATCCCTGATTGCATAAACAATTATTCATCACACCAGTTTTTTTATCCAAACATCTTGTATATTTTGTTATTTTTTTATATTTCTAACACCCGATTACACAATGTCAATCTTCTTAGTTATTATAATGCTACTTCGTTTGAGTTTTACCCATCCCCCTGTTTATTATGGTATTCTAATTCCTAATTGTAATTTTTATTAATTTAACCCCTAACCATAAATTATTCTGGAACTTTCCCATCCATTTGATATAAATACACGAATGTACAGCCTAGTTGACGGTGACTTCGTCGAAAAGAAAATTTTCTTCCTCGCTGCAACTGTCGTTTTATTCCCTATAATCAAATGTGCATATTCCCTGATTTGAATATTGTGTTCTTAAATAAATAAACAATATTGCATAACACTTAAAACCAATTTACTACAGTTGTTGTTGTTGCCATCATTGTTGTTATGTGTGAAAGTGAGAAAGTGTTTTAACTTTAAGAGTATAAGGATGGAAATAAACAGAACCACTTACGCACGCACACAAACACACACACCAAGAAAGAGTTAGTTAGAGAGACAGAACAACAAGAACAACAAAGCAGAAACAAAATCGATACCGGTTGTAAAAGCACATTTAACACACAGAGGGGACGGAAACACAGCTCATGGATATAAATCATTTATGCTTGCTTGTAACATCAAAGTTCTACCTAGTATTGTATTGGTATAAATATTGTTTGTCATGATGATGTTGAATGCAGGAATAACAATAGTAAAAGTAAATTGTTATGAGATACAACTATAGAAGAAGAAAAAGAATTTTTCTACACGTTCATTTTCAATTTTGTGAAAACATGACTTCAGCTGATGCTGTTCTCTGTCTCTCTGCGTGGGCTACCTAAGTCAATCCAGCTGCAATATGACGCTGACAAAGGTTTCTTCAATGCAGGAGTTTGCATAAAAACAGAGACCAGTCAAGTAAACCAAGTAGAAAGTTTTCAAACAAGTTGGAGATAGACCAGAATTGAAATTCACCATCAAGGGACTAAAGGAGGAAGCTACAAAAGACACTTTGACTACAATCATCAGGACAAAGTCAGAAGCATTAAGTGGCATCTCTGAAAGTGATGCCGAAGGGAACCTGTATAACGAACAGTCTTAGGAGGAAAGAACACATAAGACAAGGAATGCCTAAAAAGCAATACAAAAAAATATTGGAAAATGGAGAAATGCTACTGAAGCCTAGTGTTGTACTCGGAATCCAAGAGGATACCAACAAAAATAAAAAACTATTTAATTGAATTTTAGACTTTCCCGTCGATTGATTGCATCGAAGTGCTCGGCCTTTGGTTGACCTGTCGGCTTCTTGTGCAGATGCTTCAACGATGTCTGGGCAAGTAATTAGAATTTAATTGGTGGATGGTGACTAGCAGTGGAATCCAGCTGGATGCGCATTTCGTCCTGTTTGGGACTCGTCAGCTAATTGGATGTACCTGCATTGGCCCGTGAGTTATGATGTTCCAACCGAGGCTCAAACCCAGTGGCCATAGTTTCAAACGCCAGCCAAAGCGTTATACACTAGACCATTTGGGCCACGAGAGCCACGTCTTGTGCAATCGGTCACATTAATTATTCAACTGAATTTTAGATTTCCCGTCGATGGATTGGACCGAAGTGCTCGGTCTCGGGTTGACATGTCTGTCGGCTTCTTGTGCAGATGATTCGACGATGTCTGGACGTGTAATTATAAGTTAATTAGTGGATGGTAACCATGGCCACTGAGTTCGAGCCTCGGCGGGAACATCATCACTCACTGGGGAATGCAGGTACATCCAGTTAGCTGACGAGTCCCAAATAGGACGAAATGCGCATCCACCAATCGAATATTAAACCAGGTGATACGGAAATGTACTAGAGAAAGAATATGTATCTATGGAAAATAATGGGAAGAATGAATGTATGTTAGCCACTGAGAACCATTTTGGGGCATGTAACCAATAATCTCAAGATAATGGTTCTTAGAGTATTGAACATCCCGGCCAGATGATTTACATAGCCCTATGTTGCTGCGTGAAATGATATCATGTTCTGATTCGGTCACTCCTAACTGCTTTCTAACTCAATCCTGTGTCGGTCAGCATGGTTTTGGTTTACGTTACACATATGCTCTAGCCAACCTAATCAATGCAGACTCACAATTTTATAGCGAACGTTGCTGACAACTTTGGCTAGAATTGAGAGAAACAAACTTCTAGTGATTATGGTTTTCTTATGTTCTCTGAAATGAGGGATACAATTGCGGGCATTTCGTTGTCCTTCGAGACAACATCTTCAGTGAAGGCTTTAGTGTGAGGTGAATTTACTTGAATTCTCCATAAATAATACAACTGCATCTCCTGACAACCACTGTCGTGATTGGTTGTTAATTTCCGTATCTACTGTTCACTTTTATTCACTTGAAAATTAAACTTTCTTGTCATGTGATTTATTTTTATCAATTGGTACATTTTGTCTATCATAATATGTTTGCTAATTGCTTATTCCTTTGAGTATCAGCCTTCTAGATATTCGTCGACGTTTTCAGTATTTCCTCTGTTTAAAACTCTACATTCTCCCGATGAAATTCATGACATTTTGATTGAATCCTAGTCAGCAACTAGT